AGTTTGCTGACTGGTTGGACCAAGAAATAAAATGGCCAGAGTTTGTTTCACTAGACATAACTGAAGAACAATCAAATATTATGACGAGTTTTGAAGATCCTTCAACAAGTATTTCAACAGTAACAAGACCTAGTTTATCAACGGAATGCACTGTTCCTCATAGTGTGGCTGTGTCGACATCAACCGCTACATTTAGTCCTCGAAAAGAATTTGCCAATTTGAGTCCACTGCAAAAAAGAAGAAGAACTGAAAATCTCATTGCCGAAAACGATTTTGAGACACTTGCTTATGCCCTGGCTAGGAAAGCGGAAAATGAAAACCAAACGGACTTTGTAGAATTAGTGAAGCATTTGATTAAAAAGCCTGAAGATGCGCCAATGCTGCGAGCCTGCCTGAAATCGACGAAACGAACTTGTCATACCGATAAGGCACTCGGTATTTCAACATCACTGAAATTATCGAAATGGCAGTATATTACATTGAGGCAGACAATGAGAGACATGGGGTGTGATATACTTCCATCGTATGATGCTTTGAAGCAAGAGAAGAAGGAGTGCTACGTTGAAAAAGAAGACATGGTAATAACTGAGACTGAAGTTAAACTTAAACTTCAGTCTATTTTAGATATTACGGTCAAGAGACTATTAAAAACTCTGGAAACTGATTTAACTGGCAGTAATTCGACTCTTATCAGTAAATGGGGGTTTGACGGTGCATCTGGGCAAAGCAACTACCAACAAAAAATTGACGGCGATGATTCAAGCATCTTCATGTGTTCATTTGTGCCGTTAAAACTGGTGAGAGATGGTACTGATGAAATAATATGGGAAAACCCCAAAGCGTCTTCAACGTTTTACTGTCGACCCATTTATTTTAAGTTTGCTAAAGAGAACGATTTGAATGTTAAAGAAGAAATGACTTCAATTGATACGGAAATTGCTGCTCTACATCCAACTGTTATCGATGGTGCAAATGTAAAACACGTTCTGCATATGACGATGATTGATGGTAAAATAACTTCACATTTATCAGATACATCCACAGCTACATGCGATATATGCAAAGCAAAACCAAAAGAAATGAATGATATCGACAAGGTTACTCAGAGAACCCAGTCTGTAGACATGTTTAAGTTCGGTCTGTCTTCCCTCCATGCACGAATTAGATTCATGGAATGTATCTTACATATTGCTTACCGTCTCGACTTCAAGAAATGGCAAGCTAAGGGCGAAGATTTGAAGCAACAGTTAAGCCAAAGAAAAAAGGCTATTCAAGAACAATTCCGGACTGAAACGGGGCTACTTGTGGACGTTGTTAAACAAGGGGCTGGTACAAGCAACGATGGAAACACAGCAAGAAGATTTTTTGTTAATCCTCAAATTACTGCTCAAATAACGGATGTTGATGAAGAACTCGTTAGAAGATTTGGAGTGATTCTTCAGGCTATCTCATGTGGAGAGTTTGTGGACGTGGAAAAATTCCGCCAATATTGTGCTGCTACAGCACGCAAATATGTCGAGCTCTATGAATGGTATTATATGCCCTCAAGCGTGCATAAATTACTCATTCATGGTGCCGATATAATAGAGCACAATAACTTTATACCAATCGGCAAGCTCTCTGAAGAGGCCTCTGAAGCTCGTAACAAAGATTTTAAAAACTTCAGAACCTTCCACTGGCGTAAATCTAGCAGGATTGCAACAAATGAAGATATTATCAATAATTTGTTAATATCGTCTGACCCATACCTATCAAGTTTCAGGCCTAAAATATGTCAACGAAATAAACCTCTCACAAATGAAGCTAAATCATTATTATTAACTTCTTGTGAAGATAAGGAAAATATATAGTTTGTAGATGTAGGTAATGTATCTGATTATGACTTTGATTAGTATGTGTTCTTTCCCTCAAATCAAATTATATCAAACTTTGTATTTTTATTTTTTTGTATCTTTGTATCATATTAATATAAACAGTTTACATATTTAAGAACTGTTGTAGCCAATTTGAGTTCTACTAATCTTTTATACTTTAGCTTGTATGTGTGTAGTAATTTATACAGTTGTGGCTTCCTTATTATGCATTATTTAATTTATGATATCAAGCTTAGTTAGTAATTTAAGTTTTGTAAATAAAAATATTGATGTTAATAATTTTGTTTTATTCATAATGTAAATAGTTTATTTTCTCGTTTGGCAGTAACATATCAGAATCTCCCTTACTACATTTACTAATATTAATAACCAGCTAGTTTATCTGGAAAAACACTTTGTTCATTTTAAGCTTAGTCAGTTAAAGTTCTAGGTATCCCAAAATAAACATATTTGATCAAACCCTTTCTTAGATAGACATTGTAAGTGTAAGTATGTTTGTTTGACAAAATTAATTATTATAGGCAAACTAGCAAACCCGGCGAACTCCGTTTCGCCACCAGATGGCTTCGTTTTATGTAACATTTCGTTTGGTGATTAAAAGATTTTTTTTTAATTTTTCCTGAATTTTCTTTGCTATAAACCTCACGGAGCCCGAGACCTTTCCAACGAAAGCAAAACCGTGGAAATCGGTTCGTGCGTTCTGGAGTTATAGCGTCAGGAAGGAAAACCCGACTTATTTTTATATAGTAGACAACGGCAGGTAATGACTGTGGGTAACCCTTTGAATTCCTCAAAACCTGCAACAATAGAGTTTGTATTGTTTATATGTAATGATGCTCTCGTTAATGGCGCGCGGCTTTTAAGCGATTGTCAAACAAAAGATTAAACTGTAGGCTGTAAACGACTTCATTGTAATTCTTTACAATATTGTATTCTTGTTTTCTTTTTCTTAAAACTATTTCTTTTATCTATTTATATTAATTCCATATCTTTTGAATTAGGACGCTTTTATTTAAAGTTAAGTTGTATGGTGGCGTTATCTACTGTGTAGTTTTATTAGATAATAATCTGTGTTATATTAATAACTAAATGCTGGGCAAGAAACATAAACAAACTGTTTATTGAGACACATAACCCCGTAAAGCAAAATTACCCTAATAAGCATTTTGAAAAATTCGTATCTTTTGAACGGGGCCGTCCGGGGTGAAGGTCAAAGGTCACATGGCTTCGTAACAGACCCGGTAATAATCCCTATAAGTTTCAGCTTGACCGTAGAAGACCGATACAAGTTATGAGCAAAACAAATTCCGTTTTCATACATTTAAAACTTTAAAGCCCGTGCTTTATGGTGTTAGATTAAAAGGAAATTCCCCAAACTATTTTATTATTCAATGTACTGATATGTCCAATAAAACCGCATACCTTAAACGGATAATAAACATTTTACTTTTTTCAAAAATCCTATGAAAGGGGACCTCTTTTTTTCACCCACTGTGGGACGTTTTGATGACAACTATACCCTGTCTGCGCGTCGGGCATCGGGTCGTCGGTCTTGCATTGCGCAGTCGGGTAAAAAGGACGACAATCGTCTCTTTAGGGACGTTCTGGCACTGCTGGTTATTACACAAAGCAATGTTCTTAAAATTGTTAATTTCATAGAAATTTAATTTATTTTTAATTTTCCATATATGCAAAAAAGCAGAAGTTTATTTGATAAAAATTATACATAAATTATTAATTATTTTATTCGTCAATAAATAAATGATACAAAAAATAGTGTTTCTTTTATTTACGAAAGAAACTATGTACAACTTTTGGATAAAACCACACTTATTTAGTAATTAGTTAACCTCACTGTTTAATAAATTGTTCTTCATTTTAATTATTTAGCAATACAGCCGAATATTCGTCAAAATACGAACATGATAAAACTATGCTGAATGTACAGAATACGAATATTCGGCGCGTCTCTACTATTATGTTTGATCCACAATTGGGTTTAATTTAATGGTGGCCATACATACACACTACGAGAAATCGTTACGATCAGACTGTACAGTTTATCGTACATGGCATATAAATCATACACGCTACGAGAAATCGTTACGATCAGACGGTACAGTAATCAGTGCCGACGGACGACGTTTCAGCAGTTGTTGGATTAATATTCGCACTGAATGAACATAAAGTTAAGCGTAAAATCGTAGCATCTGGTGCAAAGACCGCCGAACGTTTTAAGTCCCGGTTGTGATATTCTTTGCCTTTAGTATTCCAAAGACAAGGTTCACTGCGATATAACTCAATAAATTGTTCTAGCCATTCGCGATTAGTTTGAGACACCATGATGCGTGCGCACGTCTACCTGAGCTACAACTGATTAAAAAACTCAACACGAAAACTGAACGAACGCATACCATACATTACAATCAGTCGGCACAGTTCATCCGATTCTGATTAATTAATTGAAATTTTCGTATTGCTCCATTCGACTGCACATTCTTAAAAACTCGTAAAAAACTGTGCAGTTTTATATCATACACTCTACGATTTATCGGTACCGTTCAAACTGTACAGTCTAATCATAACAATTTCTCGTAGTGTGTATATGGGCACTTTAAGTACTGTAGTTTGTTTGTTAACAATTTAGTATTTTAGTCTCAGTAGTTAAACTCTGCAAAGAAAACAATTCTTTACACAATTTGTTCTCAGTGAACCTAGAGCCTTCACAAATTAATTTCAAGCCTATCTACTCCCATGAAAATTCGACTGGGTGGGATGAGAACAAAAAGTTCCTACAAGTGCTCACCTCATTATTTGGCTTTTAAAAGATGAGTTTAAGGACTACATGTGGGGTCTGAGCCATGGGGTCTGCTGCTGGATTAATTCATTAACACAGAGGTGAACTACTGGGAAAAAAACAGTTTCACTTGTCTTAGGTCCATATTACAGAATGTCAACTAAGTGTTGATCTTTACTTGAGTACAGTTAGAAAGCAATGTCGCTATATGCTTTAGATAGCGACATCTCTAACTATGCTCAAGACTAGATCAATCACTGAGAATCTTTCTATAATACAGTCCTTAGTTTAACAGTTGAACTAATTGGTTGTACATAGGTACTAGTTACCTCATAGTCTGCCCCCATATTTTCATGTTCTTCAATTTCATCATAACTTTCCATTGGCATTTCATATTTAGACCAGTTACTTTGTATTTCCTTCTTTTTATACTTTTGATTCTCTTCTTCAGTTATTTTTAGGATTTCATCCGTTTCTCTTTTCAAGTTTTTATAAAAATCAGGTCCAGGTTCTTCGTGATTTGGAGGAGCTATGGGGGCTGCAACAAATTGAGTTATTTAAATTATTCATTTGAGAATTAAATTGATGAAGATTTTGTAATCTCTGTATTTAATTGGAACATCTATACTCCACAAAAATAATATCCCCAGTTTACAATACAGATCAGAATTTGGATTAGATTTTTTTGGATAGAATATATCTTGTAAATTATAAGTATGATTATAACATACATATCAATGATCACAAAGTTCAAAGCAAGCCTGAATATGGAAGTAAACTGACAATTTATATTATGAGTCTGGGATATTTTTTTTATTTATGCTCTATTTATGCATTATAGACATAAATAGTTCTACCAGATTTAAAACACTGGATTGTTGGTACAGAAGGCCAGTGCTGCCTTGCACCAACTCACTGTTGCATTGCACAAAACTAATGTTACCCTGACATTCAATAGGGCAGTACAATATTATCCATTATTAAATTCCATAGATTTGGAAGCTTGGAATGTATTGCATTGTTTAATAATATTATATTAACACAAAATTTGTTTAAATCTAAAGAAAATTTTACTAAAAGAAATTCAGGTCAGTCAAGGAGTTAATGGTCAGTCCACCTGGATTGCAGAGGGTGTGGGTTCGATTCCCATCTGCTGCTTGGTCCGTGTGTAATATTTGTAGTAATTTATTTTCATTAGATTTAAACATTTAGCAGTTAAATGCTTAAAAAATTAAAATATAAATCGTGTTTGGTCAGCACCTTTTATTTCCTCTTCTTTCTTATGGATTTTCGTTTCCATAGCACCAGCTTGGTGACGCTGACGAGGACGTCTCTGTTCTTTAGGATCATTTCTAACTTTTTGTCTGAAAGTAAGAGGTTACATTATAATTAATAGTATTTAAGCTTTATGTATTTATAATTTAAGTTTTGTCCTGAAGTAATGAGGACGTAAGCACATTAAAATATTTACTTACTTATTCTTTTTTGAATCTTCTGGCATTCTTTGTTAGATTTACCAAGAATGAGTTTTTATCAATTTAAATAAAACTGTATACTACCGAGAATTTCACCAAAACCAAGTATTGATATGGACACTGAATAACCTGAATTAAACATCAATTAAGTAGCTAAATTGCGAAAAAACGAGGAAATTAAAAAACATAAATTAAAAAAACTATGCTAGTTTGACAGTTGACAGCAGTCTTGTCCAGTGCTGTCAGATGAGGAAATTAAAAACGCGGTAATGTATGTACAGAAACGCGGATTATCAAACAAAAAAAGTGGTATTTCTTGTTTTATGGGGCACTCGGCAGCGATACCGAATCGATAGGCGATATCGTGACTTGCACGATAATCGCTGTCGCGCTCGGTAGCGGTACTAAATCTGTACGCGATATTGCGCAATGCGCGGTAATCGCTGTCGTGGTAAAAAAAATATTTTTACAATAGATATCGAAGTAGATTTAAATAAAATTTATTATTTCATGAATCAAAACATACCGCGTAAGCTTAAACTGGAACGTGGACCCTTTGTTAAAAAGGCGGTAGAAAAAGCAGAGAAGTGGTACGATCTGGCAACACTGGTCTTGTCTTTTACCAGTTTCTTTTCATATCGTCAGTTTACCTAACTTAAATAAGGGTTTAATAGGGTTTAATAGATCGTCAGTTTACCTAACTTAAATAAGGGTTTAATAGGGTTTAATAGAGAGATATTTTCCCGTAAAATAGTAATCCTGATGCATTACTGTTTGGGAAAGAGGGAACTGTAGCTAATGAAATTATTCGATAAGCATTTGAGACTTACCAACTAACGTCTTGGGTGACGTTCGCAGGCCATTGCTGGACAGTAGTAGACTAGTAGTAAAGAGGGGCATCCCAAAATGTTGTAAAAGTAAATTTCCACCCGTGCGAAGCCGGGACAGGCTGCTTGTTATTATTAAACGTACGTATTCTATTATCGATCAACAAATACAAGTAAATGAATTGGCTGCTTTAAACAAATAAGCGCGGACCTATGCCTGGGCACAACCAATAGCATACGCGCTTAGTCATACGTATTTTTTTGTAATCGAGCCTTGCTTTCTTGTATTTAAAAAACAGTTCTATCGTGACGTAGCAATCAAACCGATAATCACTAAATTGAAAATGCATGGTATTTGACAGTTATACTCGAAAATCAAGCCTGAGCTTATGACAAAAATTCCATACATTTTCCATTTAACGATTGCGATAGCTTTTGTTCCAGGTGGAATAATAGACAAAATAAATGGCAACACTAAAGTCTGTTCATTCGTTCATTTGGTACACAATCTTGGCACTAGTTTTTAACAAAATCACCAATTAGAAATAAAATAATAACAAAGTTAATAATCTATTACAATAAATCGTTATTATATACTGAAACCTATTGAATCTAGTTTTTAGTTAATTTGTAATGCTGTATTTTCAATAAAAAGGAGTGCCAAGATTGTTTACCAAATAGGACAAGTTAGGATGAATGTCAATGCAGTGTTTTATTTTATTTTACTCGGCTTTTATTTGTATCAATTACAACTTGTAAAAACTGTTTATATTTAATTAATAATATTTGTAAAAATGTCTATTCTAGACTTTCAATTTTGATCCAAATATGATTTGGCCGATGTCCTTTCAATGATTGCAGTGAAACTTCATAGATGTGTTTAGTATCTATTTATTTATCTCGCCCATCGTCTCCAATTTTAAATGAAATAAATAACATGTTTTCATCTCTCCCTAAACCCTTTCTAGTCACTATGTCTCCTGCAAAAGTTAACTATTTTATGGACAAATTGGCCCCACCGTGGACTCCCATTCCCATGCTCAATACTTCACAGGTTTTCCAATCGTTATAATAGTAGCTCTGAATTAAATCGTCCTTTCTCCCTTCAAGAACAAGATTCTGCCTCTGGGGTAGACGGAATTCCGTATTCGTTTTTCGCAAATGTTAGTGATAACATCTTATACTTGCAACTTATCAACACTATCATGATAACAGGTGACATACTTCTGTCATGGAAGTCATAAATAGTGTTGCCCATACTCAAACCTAATAAACCACCAACACATGCATCTTCATACCGTCCAATAGTTTTGGCAACTGTTTTAATAAAGCTAGCTGAAATTTTAATAAAAAATCGCCTTGAATGGTATTTAGAAATCAGAGGTATGCTATCCAAAACACAATACGGATTCAGAAAGGGGAAAAGTATAATGGACAATTTAAGTATTTTATCAACCAACATTCGTCTGGCTTTCACATATAACGAATCCGTAGTAGCAGCATTTTTGGATATAAATTCTGCTTAAGATGACGTATTATTATCAGTTTTGAAAAGTAAACTAGAAATACTAAAGGTTCCTAACATGTTAATTTTTATTATGAAAATACTAATCGAACGAAAATTAATATTTAGCTTTCCGAACAGTCTTGAAATACGAAGAAATGTATGGAGAGGCTTGCCCCAGGGATCAGTTTTTAGTCCTTTACTTTACAGTGTACATACTCACAATTTTGACACTTTATTTGAAAATAATATTAAGTTGTTACAATATGCTGATGATTTATTCTACAAACCGTCACATAGATAATTCTACTTTGCATATTAACTCAGCTTTGCGTTCTTTGAGTTCTTGGATGAACGATAACGGTCTAGAATTATCTGCTTCAAAGAGTACTATTGTAATATTCTTAAGAAAGAAGAATCCCCCTCCCGTTAAAATTTATTATAAAAATATGTTAATGCCCATTGAACACCAAGTAAAGTTTCTGGGAGTCATGTTGGATTCCAAGCTTACCGGTAGTGCACATTTGTGATTTTTTTATAAGTAAAACTGAATGACTTTTAAATCTTCTCCGATATCTTTCACGAGTTTGGTTGAGGCCCCATCCACAATTCTTAAAACTAGTATATAATACATTAATCCGAAGTGTACTGGACTACGGAAGTTTTCTCCTAGAACCTGCCAATTTTACTGCACTGAAAAAGTTAGATAACCTTCAGTCGAAAGCGTTAAGAATAATAACTGGTGCTATGAGATCCAGCCCAATAAATGCATTACAAATTGAAACTTGTGAACCCCCACTTAACATTAGACGTCAACTTCTTGCTGACAGATACCTATTTACTTCAATTTTCCAACCATCCTCTTATAAATTTTCTTTGTTCTTTGAATGAAGAAATAACATCAACAAGTTACTGGGCACATAAATCGCTCCCATGTTTGATAGTTAGTTATCGAAAATATATAAGTATACAATCACCGATCAAACCATCTTCCCATTTTTACATTGATTATGATGCCTTAGAAATATCACCAACTGTTCAATATGATTTAATTGATAAAAACAATGCACACTCTAGTATAACCTTCAAATCAATACTGAATATGACGACTTTCATCATATATTCACTGATGCTTCTTAGTCCTCTCCGTCTGAGTGTACAGGTCAGTCAGTGTCAGTTTTTTATTTTCCAAAAAACTAAACTTCCTCCGGAGACATCTGTTTTACCGGATAATGTATTGGTTTATTAAAGGCTGTTGAATATATCTCTGTTATGAAACTCCGAAAAACTATATATATAATATTTTGCGATTCAATGAGTGCTCTTCAAGCCCTAAATAAATCCCCTTTCCGTACCAAATCATATTTTCCTGTAATATTTGAGATAAGAAATTTTCTAAATACATTAATGAAAATGGGATACATGGTAGAGATTGCATGGCTCCCGAGTCACAGTGGAATTCAGGGAAACGAAAAATCCGACGAATTAGCCAAAGAGGCAGTGCATTGTGGTGACGTTGTTCCTTATAAATGTTATAGCCATGACTTGCTATCTCTACCTTTGTGCGATTTGCGAAGTGAATGGCTTACAAGTTAGACAAGTAGTGCACAAATAAACGGAAAATACTATTTTACGATACAGCCTACTATCCCTTTAAAGCCATGGTTTCGTAAAGCTAAACTTGGTAAGGCTTCTACTAGCATATTAGCACATCTTTCTAATCTTGGAATTGTCAGCAATCCTACTTGCGGGTGCGGAATGGACAGGGGATCTTAACCACATCCTGTTTTCTTGCCCTCTATACGATCGATATTCTTTTTCAAATGACCTTATTTCCTTAGATGTTCCTTTTCCAATATCCGTAATAACTAGGGTTCATGATTTCTCGAGCTTTTCAATTTCTCGGGTCTCGAGAATTCTCGAGGCTAATTTCTCGAGGCTTCTCGGGTTGTCGAGAAATTTACATTTACTTACGTTTTCTCATATTATTTGGTTCCAATAATGTCAACAAATCAGTGGTTTTCCTCTCAAATAAAAGTATCCAATCTCTTATCTATTAGACAAGTCCGTCCGTCTGTGGTGCTGTTTCAGCGGCCAAACCGTAAGAGATAGATAAAGAGAATATTTAAGTTATAAGTTAAGAATAGTCTGATAAGACTACAAACCGGATTTGAGTAACGTAGCCCTTCCGGTTTTCGAGAAATCACGAATTTCAAACGAAACCACACAAAATCTCCGAAGTTCTCAATTAATTAAATACATTTTTTTTTAAATCAGGTTTTGGTGAACATTTGGTTCACTGGTTTGCTAGTTATTTATAAAACTTTAATTGATTATATTAAAAAAAACATTAATTTTATGAATAAGCATAATAATATAATTCAGACTCATAATTATAATGACAGCACCATATTTGGCTGGTTATTTAGAACTTATAAACAAAAAATAAAACTGACTTTTAAAATATATATATGCAGTCGAACTCAGAACCTCCTCCTTTTTTGAAATCGGTTGAAAAGCTATGTATCTATTAAACTAAACAAAAAATCAACATGAAAGAAAACGTTAATATCTTAACTTATAATTAAATTACAATCACAGCACCATTTTTCCCTGTTATTTAAAAAAAACAACTAAAAACAAAAATAGCTTCTATAAAAGAAAAAAAAATATGAAAGAAAACGTTATTATCTTA